GGTTATGTGGGACTAACGAATTTGGGTGCCACCTGCTATATGGCCTCTTGCATACAACATCTTTATATGATGCCCCAAGCTAGAGCAGCTGTCTTACGTATACCACCGAATAAAGCTCAAAAACATGCTCCCACTCTATTGGAATTGCAACGCATGTTTGCCTATCTTTTGGAATCCGAACGTAAAGCCTATAATCCTCGTTCTTTCTGTCGAGTCTATCAAATGGATCATCAGCCTTTGAATACGGGCGAACAAAAAGATATGGCTGAATTTTTCATAGATCTCGTATCGAAACTAGAAGAAATGACACCGGATCTTAAAGATTTGGTTAAACGCTTATTCTGTGGTACTCTAAGCAACAATGTGGTCTCGCTGGATTGTGATCATGTTTCGCGCACTGCAGAAGAATTCTATACTGTTCGCTGTCAAGTGGCTGATATGCGTAATTTACAAGAATCTTTAGATGAGGTGACCGTTAAGGATACTTTGGAGGGTGATAATATGTACACTTGCTCACAATGTGGCAAAAAGGTTAGAGCTGAAAAGCGTGCTTGTTTCAAAAAGTTGCCGCAAATTTTATGTTTCAATACCATGCGTTATACCTTTAATATGGTAACTATGCTCAAGGAGAAAGTAAACACACACTTTTCATTCCCAATGCGTTTAAATATGTCTGATTATGTGGAGAAAACTCTGATGCCACATCAATATAAAGGTGGGTTTTATGCCATAAATTTTCATCTAAAATTATTGTTAAATGTTTTGTATAAATTTCCAGAGGATCGTGAGAAACGTAGAATGGAACGTGATAAGAATGGTGACGATTTGGAAGATGATTTAGAAGAATGTTTAGAGTAAGTTTTTTATAACTAATTAAAGAATTAAAAGATATACTTAAATATACTATTGCAGATATGAATTGGTGGGTGTGACGGTACACACGGGCACGGCAGATGGTGGCCATTATTATAGTTTTATAAAAGAACGTAACAAATCGGCCATGCAACATGATCGTTGGTTTTTATTCAACGATGCTGAGGTAAAACCATTCGATCCTTCACAAATAGCGGCCGAATGTTTTGGTGGAGAAATGACGGTAAATTTGAAATGAGTTTTAAATTATAATTTTTTTTTCTTAATATTAAAATATCAATTTTAGAGTAAAACTTATGATTCGGTGACAGAAAAATATTTGGACTTTAGTTTTGAGAAAACTAATTCGGCTTATATGCTATTTTATGAACGACGTTTGCCAGAACATTTGAAGGAAAAACATGCTCATCTTCTAGCCTCTCCTACGGCTAATACAAGTTTGACAAAACCAGCTGTAGCAGAAGAACAGCAAAGTAATGTTAAAGTCAATGAGGCTTTGGATGAGAAGCATGACAAAAAGGAAACGAATAGTGAACTTAATTCGAAAATGGAAGTAGACGAAGAAGAAAATAATGCAAATAAAACAAATACAGCCAATTGTGATAAAAATAAAATAAATGAAAAAGAAACTGAAAGTGAAGAAAAAATGGACGAAGATAAGAAAAAGGAGGAAGAAGTTGACAAAGAAAAAGTTATTGTAAAAGAAGACGTTAAGTCAAATAATAAAAAGGAAACCGAAACAGAAACGCCCTCAACATCAACAGGATCGTCACCCACATCCTTAACAACAACAGCTAAACAAACTGAAAATCCCTGGAGACCACAATTGAGTAAAGAATTGGAGGATTGGATATGGCAGGATAATAGGCAATTTTTACAAGATCGCAACATATTCGAACATACCTACTTTAAGTATGTATTATCAGTTTTTTAAAATGTTCCGTTAATATATTTCTATTCTATCATTCAGTTTTATGTGGCAAATTTGTGGTCATATACCACAAACTTTAATCGCACAACAGGATGTTACTTGTATGGCAGCCAAATTATCGGTTTCATTTTTCATAGAAACTTTTATACATGCCAAAGAAAAGGTATGTTTGCAGCAAAAAAATTTGGAGTAAATTGAACCAGGGAATTTATTTCCATTTTTTATATCTCTCTTTTTTAGCCTACTATGGTTCCTTGGGTGGAATTGTTAACGAAACAATTTAATGCCAGCCAAGAGGCTTGTGAATGGTTTCTCACCCATATGTCTATTGAACCTTGGTGGCCGGTCCAAGTTTTAATACAATGTCCCAATCAAATGGTTCGTCAAATGTTTCAACGTTTAGTTATACATGTTATACAGAGACTACGGTGAGTGTTCATAATCTTGTTTTTTTTTTCTTATTTTTACTTGTTTATGACCTTGAGGCTTGATTTAAAAATGTCTTTATTTTCACAGTTGTGTAAATAATTAATTAGACATATTTGCGTACATACTATGTTCCAATTATTAAACAATGAATATTATGATTGTATTTCATTCATATACTTCAGGGTTAAATTGTTTATATTGTTCGTATTGGATAATACTTAAAATACTATTTAACTTCAGGTTGTTATTTAGAAATACACACGTTTATATTAAAAATGTAGAGTAAATCAATATAGAATAAATCGTTTTGCTTGTTGCAATAATAATTTTGAAGTCGTCCCCTTAAACCTAAATGAATATATTGGAATTATTAATGCACAAGTTGAAAAGTTCGAAAAAAGTGATTTATGGAATTATGTCAAAAAAATCTCGAAATTTGTCCATAAATAACAGCGTTGAAATAGAAACAGATTTACAAAAACGTTTTTCACTGGAAATATTTTATTTTTTCCCTGAGATTTTCTTCTAATAACCCATTTTAACACTAAAAATTTAATTTTTTATTTAAATTTAGATTTCTCAGATCAAATCTGTGGTGAAAAGGCAAAAGTACATAAGTTACGAAAAATTTACACAATATAGAGTTGAGTATGGAGATTTCAATAATCTGAAAACATGATTTTTGCATAATGGTATACACACAATTGGGACGAACGACGAATTTCGTATAGCACGACGAACTAGTCGACAAAAATTCGATGCGTAAATTCGTCGAATGGAACACAATCAAATTATTCGTACTGCGAATTCGTTTCAAAATTTGTTTGTTCGGAATTGGAAAAAGTAAGAAAATGGAACAAAAATTTTATTTTTGTGAATCTCCACGATTTTGAGATAATTTTAACAGCTTTAAAATTTATTCGAACATTATTTCGAAATTAGATAATGTAAGAAATTGGCCTCGAAAAGAACTAAAATTATATTTTTGTGAATACACCCAATTTTGAGATTATTTTAACAGCTTCAAAATTTTTTCGAACATTACTTCGAATTTTCGAACTTTATTTTAAATATTCCAACATAGCATTGTAGTGTCATCAAGTGTACTCCAGACTGCCAAATTTCAGACAATTCGGGCCACGAGAACTAGTTTTAATGGCTTTAAAATTTTTTCGAACTTAAGTTCGAATTTTCGAAAATTTTATTTTTAGTTTTTATGACCCAGAGATTATTTTAAGAGCATAAAAAATTTTTCGAACATAACTTCGAATTTTCGAATATAATTTCGGATATTCGAACATTATATTGTTTTGTCATTAGCTGTACTCACAACCGCCAAATTTCAGCAAATTCGGGCTACCGGAATTGGTTTTAAAACAATTTTCCCCAATTAATTCGTCGTTCGTCTGCGTAAGAAATAGAAATAAACCTATCGCATAGTTCGTTACGTACGACGAATTTCGTCATACGCAATGATTGTGTACATTTTCATATACCCAAGTGTGTTCTATTTCTGACGACGAATATTCGTTCCGAAAAATTCGTCGTTCGTCTCAATTGTGCATATACTATAACTTGGGATATGTACTTTTTCATTTTTGCCACAGAAATATTTTTATTAAACATTTTTCACTAGCTTTAGGTTCCACTAAAATTCTTTTCACTAAAACAATTTTAAATCTTCCATATAAAATCAAAATTTCAGATTCAAATTTTCAATAAAAATTCAAATTTTCATTGAAAATTTTAATTTTTTCAAAAACATAATTTTTTTTATTAAAAATTAAATTTTTTATTAAAAATTTAAAAAAGATTTAAAATTTTCACCACAAATTATAATTTTCACTACAAATTTTAATTTTCACTAAAAATTCTAATTTTCACTAAAAATTTATACTATTACTAAAAATTCAAATGTTCGCTAAAAATACAAATTTTCACTAAATATGCAAATTTTCACTAAAAATACAAATTTTCACTAAAAATTCAAATTTTCACTAAAATTTCAAATTTGCAATAAAAATTTGAATTTTCACTAAAAATTTGAATTTTCACTAAAAATTCAAATTTTCACAAAAAATTTAAATTTTCACTAAAAATTCATTTTTTTAGTAAACAAATTTTTCACATTTCTATAATAAAAATTCGATTTTTTACAAAAATTCAATTTACACTAAATATGTATCAGATTTTCACTTAAAATTCCAACTTTCCATAAAAATGTAAATTTCAATTTTTCGTTAGAAAAATGCTATAAGATTAGGTGCTGAATTACCGCATACGTAACGGAGTAAAATTTATTGATCGTAATTTTTCTTTTTTAGTTGATGGAATTCTAGTAAATTTTTGGATTAATTTCGATATTAAACAGTGCTTTCGAAACGAAAGCTTATTCTATCACTAATATTACAGGCCAAAAAATTTAAATCAGAGACCAAAGTAGTCTTTTCTAAAGGATTGAGCTGCGCTTTTTGGTAATTTTTGTGAAGTTAAAACGACGCAAACATCTCTACTTATAAAATTTGATGTATCGCCTAAAAGTCAAATTTGTCGACTTTAAATTAAAGGTTTAACCTCCGTCATATCTTCTTTCTTATTCGCGCTGTTGTAATATACAAAATTTTGCCACAAACTTTTTTTAATCTTTATGACACAATATCTGGAAAACATAAAGTGATATCTTATTTAGTACTAATACAGTTGCTACACCAAATAGAAAATATATGATTCGATTACAAGTCTCTATAAGTATTAAAAAAGCCATTAATAATATTTTCAATTATATTTTATTTAAACTAATAAACAATTTGAGCTTAAAGAGTTTACTCAAGAGGGCGAATAAGTTTTAAATTATACTAATGCAAAATTCAATCAAACGAGGGTTTTTCACTATTATCAACAATATCCACAGTTGGTTTTAAAGTAGTAGTAGCAGCGGCAGCACTTGTAGTAGATTTAGTTGTTTTTGGAGGAGCAGCACTAGTTTTCTTATTATCACTTTCCGGTATCAAACTATTCAAGCCCAACATATTATTAAAACTCTGAAATTTATAAAAGAAAATTTTTAAATATTGTTCAGATTTTTAAGCTAAATAACACTTACATTTGTCATATTTTCCAATAGTTTTATAAATTCCTTTGAACTGTTACTTATAAAAGTTGTTATACCATTGCAAAAGGATGTGGCCTGCTCTTGGCTTTGCCAATTATTAAAAAGCTCTGCAACATCATTATCATTATTAGAGTTTTTATTTATAAAGATTGGAGAACTTATAGTTTTTGCAGTAAATATTGTTAGTAACACGATAAGTAAGAAAATTTTCATTTTGGAATTTTAATACTTTACTCTTTAGCAGATAGTTTAATACTGTTCTATGTTAGATTTTATGACAAAGATTTTCTTAGCTAAAGTATTTGATTATTTCTGTTTTTTTTTTGTGGATAAGAAAACAATTGTTTAAATATAATAGTATTTTAAAATGTAAACAATATATTCTTAGATCGTTTTAAATAACTGTAATAAAGGTTTCTTTGTATGGAAATGAAAATTCTATAATTTAACCTTAAATGTTTTAGTTTCTGCTTCCAAAAACCAATTATAAATCCAAAGGATTTTTTATTTATTTATTCCTTTTTTTCTTTTACAGTTCATCACATTCGCACTTGTACTTGAAAACTGAAAACGATAACGATGGTAAAGAGATTATTGGTAATGCCTCTTGTGTTACTCGTTTTATAAGTTCCCTAATATTACTTATGGAACATGGTGCTAAGGCTCATTTGAGGCATTTATCAGAATTTTTCGGTTTACTGTTTGAATTCTCACGCATGGGTGATGAGGAAACGGTGTTTTTGCTGCGCATTGGAGTTATTAAAAGTGTGGCCGATTTTTATTTGGGCAATAAGACCCATGATAATGTAAGAGAGAAATATTTCTTATGACAATACAAAACTATTTAACTTTTTTTTTTCTTCAACAGCTGGAAGTGGGTTCTGATAATGATGATAATTCTTCGGATGAAGCTTTATCGGTAGATAAAACTAGACCTGCCTCTTTAGATAAAATGATTGCTTTGGTTGCGAGTTTAGTGGAAAGATCAAGGGGACAAGATTTAAGATTGAAATTATCCACCAAGGATTATAATGCTATAGCGGGCGGAAAGGTATTATTTACAAATTATAAATCTTCCCTTAAGAACTGTAATTTTTTGATTTTTTAATATTTTTATTCCAGGGTTTTCCTTTCCTCTATCAACAAATCAAGGATAATATTAATCCTCATCAAACTAAACACCTGATACATGCTCTCTGTCGTTGGGATGAACGTTTAGCTAATCAAATTATAACCATGTTATTCGCTTCCGTTACCAAACATACAGAATTATGTGGTCCATTCTTTAAGCTGTTGACGTTATTGACCGAAACTCAAGGTGGTCCTTCGGGCTTACCGTGTTTCTCACAATTAGTTTTGCAACGTGTCTGGGATGCAGCGGAATATTGTCCTCAGTCAGCTTTAGATTGGTTGGCTTTTCAGGCTCCCAAAAATAAAATAGCTCATGCTTGGATCTTGCAATCGGCTGATACTTGGGTAGAGCAATATTTATTAGCTCATCACAACTCTAGAGTTCGTAATGGTGTGTTTAAAATAACTTTTTCTTTGTTGTTATTAATATTAATAAATGTAATTTATAGCTGCCGCTTATTTATTGGTATCTCTGGTACCCTCACAACCTTTTAGAGCCAATTTCCGTACACATTCTTTGCATAAATTATCCTCCATTTCATCTTATGTATTTCGGTAAGTTCAATGCCTTTTATTTATAAATAAACTGAATTTGAATTTCTTTTAAAATTTCCAGTGAACTTAGTAATGATGCTCAAATTATCTTACATACTATTATTAATCTTTTATTGCGTTTGCTACGTGCGGCAAGAGCCTATGCCGATATTGGTGTTCATGGCACCACAAAACTAACATCATATTTTAGCCTTTTAGGCTATTGCATGGTTTCTAAGACTGAAAAAGTTATGGTAAGTTATTTGTTCAGAAATCTCAATTATAAAACTATAATAAATGTGAAAAACTTATAATATTAGATGGGACCTTATATGCGTGCATTATGGGATCTGTTTCATCCTCGGCTATCAGAGCCTAGCGTGCCGGCTCATCATAATAAACATGCTTTACTAGCATTTTGGCATCATACCATTGTTGATTGTCCAGAGAATGCATTAATAGTTGCCAACTGTCCAGAAATAACAAGAAATATAGCATTTAATTATATATTGTAGGTTATCAAAGCTAATTAACTTTTAAAATATAAAATTCATATTTAATTGTCTTCTAAAAAACAAAACACTTTCCACAGGGCTGATCATGATGATTCGGAAATAGTGGCTTATAATCGTGCCATGTTACCCGCCTATTATGGTTTATTACGTTTGTGCTGCGAACAGAGTCGTAGTCTAACACGCCAACTCGCTGCTCACCAGAATCTTCAGTGGGCCTTTAAGAATATCACACCACATCCCACACAATATGCCGCCGCTGTTGATGAATTATTTAAATTAATGACTTTGTTTGCTACCCGCCATCCCGATGCCAGTGATCAAGAAAAACATGAAGTCACCACATTCCGTCGTACAACATTGTCGGCCTATTTAACGGGTCTGGATGCTAGAGTCTCTTGGGGTACATTGATAAATGCTTTTAGAATATTGGGTGAGTGGGTCGTTATTACAAATAGAAATTGTGATGAGTTAATATTAACCTTTATAAAAATGGCTTAAGCATTTTTTAATATTGATGCGGGAATGGTTCCTTATCTTATCAACTCTTCCCCACTTTTGCTTTTGGTCTTTATGTTTTTGCTGTAGTTAAACTTTTCAATTTCCATTTTTTTCTTACTTTACTTTTATTTAAATTTCTTTTTCCTTTAGTTGATAACGATGAAGATCGTCTACTCGTCATTTATAATGGTGGCATTGAAATGTGTTTTGAAGCTTTGCACACACTACATTCCATGCATCATGAAGCCACTGCCTGCCATGTTTCGGGTGATTTACAGGAATTACTTAGCGAAATGGTTTTACTATTGAGTACTTTACGTTTAAGTACACGCCTAGATAGTCCCACTAACAAGAAACAGCAACAACAATTGGAACAACAGGTACAACAATTGCAACAGCAACATCAGCAACTATTACAAAAGCAACAGGAACAATTAAAACAACAGCAACAACAATCTCCACAAACGCCACAACAGACAGCACAACAACAGAAAGAGAAACAACTGCAGCAGCAAATGCAACACATACAGCTGCAACAAATGCAGCAGCAGCTACAGCAACAACATTTCTTGAGGCAACATCAACAGCAAACATCTTTGCTTAAGGGACTGCCAGATGCTGTCAAACGATTGGCCACCTTTTTGAACACCTACAACCCACCCGAAATATGTAGACTTTCGCTTGAGGTACTTAAAGAACTAGTACGTAATCCCAATTTAGATGTAACCACCATTTTGGCGCCGATCCTTATCAATTGTCATTTATCGGTGGCTAATGCACCCACGGCCATAGGTGCCCTGGGATCATACTTTCCCCGACGTGGTAAAACCACTTGGCCAACGGTAACGAAAAATATGCCTAGACCGCCCAGGCCGATGGTACAAATGTGTATACCGCATAGTGAGTTTTTGGAAGTTCAACGTGGCGTGGATCTGGAATACGATGCTCAAATTGATGCCTTCTATAGGCCCTATCATGACTTTTTGGATGTTATGATGCGCATGGCCGTTAATACCAATCAATTGAATGATACCTTAGTAAAGTTATCATGTTTGGTAGCTATCGAAGCGGCTCCCTTGCATTTCAATTTATTCCCAAAGTTTTGGGTGGGCATTTATAATAATAAAAGTACCAATAAGTATGTATTTTTTTTAATGATTAAATGAAACTGAAATTTATTTGTATTTTTTTCTCTCTTCAAGGTATGCTGAGTTATTGATAAATAATCAATATTTAGTTGAATATATTCATATAATATTACGCGGCTGTAGAGTTTCCCTAAGTGATCAATATATAAGAGCATTTTTGGAAATTTATTATCCTAAGGTGGTGAGCTAACGATTTCTTGTTCCTTTTTAATATATTTTTCTTTGAGTTATTATTCTTTTATTTTCATTCTTTTAAAACTATAAATACAATGTTATTAATCTTCTTTTTATTTAATAGATTTCATCACAATTGCCGATTGCTCGTTTGTTGTATTCCATAAGTTATTCTATGCATTCGAAGGAAGATTTAGATGAATTATGTGGTGATTTATTTGCCATACGTGTAATTGCTCAAGGCACTGGTATACCCACCTCAGTGCGCAAACAATTAAGAGGATCTCTAAAGGCTTTACTCTACAAGAGTGCACGTTATCAAGAAATTGCTGAAAATGGTAAGAACTTTAAAATTTGTTTGCAAATGTCTCCAATTCTACAGCATTTTAATTTTCTCTTTTTTACAGAGCTTTATCAAAATAAAAAACTTAAATTAGACAACAACGAATCTAAAGAAAAGTCTGATAATACGGCAGCCAAAGAGGACGTTACTCCGACAGCAGCAGCTGCAACAACAGCTACAAAACAACCACAACAGGAACTCGGCTTAGAAAGTTCCCCAGAAGCCATGGACACAACGAACAATGATGACAACAAAGATATCAACAACAGTAAACAACACAATGATAACGAAGAAAAAACTGCCAGCCAAGCAATCGACTTAAAATCCCAAGAACAGAAAGAAGACAAAACAGAAGCAGAGATAGAAAAAGCCAATATTAACACACAGGAAGATGAAGAAATGAAAAATGCGACAGACAAAATAGAAGAGCCTAAAGAAATCGTTAAGGAAAGTGGTAAGTTAGAAAATAAGGATGATGAAACTGCAAAAACAGAGGCTATAAAATCACCTGCTAAAGATAAAATGGATGTAAATAAAGAAGACGAACCACCCTCTACATCTGCAGCGGCCGCAGCTGCAGTTGCTGGCGTCACTGCTAACGCAACCACGACCACCACCACCTGTGCAACACCGAAAAATATAAATAAGAAAACTGCCGAAGATCGTTTGATGGATGAGCAAGATAAACGTATTAAACTCTTAATGACCATGGAAACGTATATTAAAAGCATTTTATTGCTAATGCAAAAAGACGAAAATAATTCCCCAAATGCCACAAACAGTAGCCAGCCCAACATGGATGATACCATGGAGAGGGAACAAAATACCACGCCAGTACCAGAGAGTAGTGATGAAGGTGGTGGCAATAACACTTCACAAGGCAGTGCCTTTCATGTAAATTGTTCATCATCAC